AGCCAAGACAGACCTGCTGTAAGGCTTGGCCCCTCCGCTCCCATGCTGTTCAGCCATATGGAAACAATCTCTCGGCCCCTTTTAATGGCCAGCCTTAGATTCCATTTTCACAAGGCCTCACAGAGCTTAAAGTGGGCCTGTTTTTATGGACAAGTTAGAAAGAACCCTTTCCAAGACAAACATCCCATTCGAAAAATTAGGACATACCAAGCCACAAAATTATTTTAGAGCACATTTCATCAAAATGGCATGGCCCTTCCCCCCCCCCCTCTTTGGCAAGGCGCAGATTGCAGGCCTGACCCTTGATCCTTTCTGGACATTTTTTCCCCTGCCTTCGAGAAAGGGAGTAGATGTTTTATAAAAAAAAAAGGTGGAGAGAATAAAATAAAAAGGAAAACAGAGTTTGACAGAGCTTGCTGTTTTTAGGGAGGGAGAAAAAAACACAACAACTCTGCAGCGACTCTGAAATATATCCATGGGAATGTTTCTGCTTTTGCTGGTTTGGCTTGGGAGAGAGAAAGTTTTGTTTTGTTTGTTTGTTTAAAAAAGATGTGCAGCTGGATTTATGGATCAAGCCCCCATTTTCCTTTTGAAAGTGAGTTTTTTAAGTCTCTGTACCAGGAAAAGGGAGCGATGAATGGTTGGATGGAATTCTGTGACACTATAGAAATATACTGTATGAATTTCTGCGTGGGATCAATCACAAAGGGGATTCTGTTTATCCTATACGTATCTAACATTGCAGTGCACTTTGGGTGAGAGAGAACGGTCTTCATGAAAGAAGGCCAGCCTCAATTTGACGCTGTCCCCATCTAGGTCTAAGTGACCTCCCAATTCGATCCTGATAAATCAGAAGCCTCCAAAAAACAAGCATCGTAGAGTCATGGAATCATTGAGTCAGAAGGGGCCTCTGAGGGCATCGAGTCCAGCCTCTTGCTCAGTGTGTCAGGATCTGGCCCACACCGCCCTGGCAGTGGCAGGATCGGGGCCAGCCTGACCTAGGAATGGCCTGGTGTTTGCAGGATCAGGCCCTGGCCTGTGGATCAGCTGCTGGGCCACTCATGAGGCTCACCTGGAAACCTGGAGGGAAGGGCTATTTAAGGAGTGATTCTCCCTTGCAGAATTTTCCTTAGCAACAAAGGTCTTCGGTTGTGCTGACTGTCTTGCTGCTCCTGAGATCCAGAGTGCCTGCATTGCAGTGTTTCTGCATCTGCTCCTGCCTTGACCCCCTGTTCTTACTTCTGCTGGCCTCCTACATCTTGGTGACTTGTTCCTCCTCTGTGCGCCCACCTCTGCTTGGTTGCAACCAACTGTGCTGTGAGCATCTTTGGACTTGATGCCCTGCATGGTGGATTGGGTCCCAGTGCCCTTGCCCCTGGTGAGAAGGGGCAACTCCTGAGATATCTTGGACTGTGACACAATGCAGGAATCCAAGTCCAAGCAGATCTGACAGAGGGTCATCCAGTTTTCTCTTGAATGCCTCCAACGTTGGACCAGTCGCCACCTTCCGAGGCCAATAGTTCCATCGTTGTACTACTCTAACAGTTGGTCACAAGAAGGTGTTGGGTTTTGTGTTCCTTGTTTTGGTTTTTGGTCAAACTTGGAGAATTAAGACAAGGGGCCTTGTGGGTGTTTTCAGCTGCTTTTGTTGCTGTGTATTTAACAGAAAAGCACTAGATGGGTTGGTTGTTTCTTTGTGACCCATCCGGGTGTTCCGTTGTGCTTGCTTTGAGAGAGGGATGAAGTGTTTGTGTTGTGCTGCAGGAAATAAAAAAAAATCTGCATTTTTCAGTTGGAACAGCTTTACGCAGGTCTGCACTTTGCATAGATGCTTAAAAATGTGGAAAACATAGTTTAACAGATTGTGAAAGCTGGGAGGAAGGAGGCAAAAAAATCTGTCTTGATCTAGATCTAAACTGAAGAAGGCAGAGAATCCTTCTGGATTAGTTCCGCAAGGTGAGAAAATTGGTCTTAAAGAGTCTTTTACAATGGCAATTTTTTGTTTTCACATATGAAAACATGCTTGGTTTGAACTGTACTTGATGGTTAACAGATAATGGTGTGAACACACTGTATGTGTGTGTAGGGGGGGAAGAACTGCATTTGACTTCTGTCTGTGGTGAGAGATGTCACCATGAAAGGTCAAGTCTTTCTCAGTCATTGAGCACGTATTTATCTATCATGGTAATACTTCTAATGAGGTGATTAGATTTCGCCAAAAGATGAGTTCCCGTCAGTCCAAACCTGCATGGCCAGGGATGGTGGGATTTGCAGTTCAGCAAAAATCTAGAAGGCCAGAGGTTTTCCTTTCCTGATTTAACTTTGTGCATGTTAACATGACCTGGGACAACAGCACCTGGGCCTGTACAGTGGTGCCTCGCATAGCGATGATAATCTGTGCAGTAAAAATAGCTGCAAAGCAATTTCGTCGCTATGTGATATTAAAAAGCCCATAGGAATGCATTGAAACCCCTTCAATGCGTTCCTATGGGCTTAAAACTCAACTTAAGGCAAAAGTCCCCCATACGGTGGCCATTTTCGCTGCCCAGTAAGTGAGGAATCCATCCCAGAAAACAGCAGGCAGCCATTTTTTTTACCCGGTGGCCATTTTGGAACCGCCAATCAGTTGTTAAAAAATCATCAATTTGCGATGATCGGTAAGCGAAACAGGGTACCGATCATCGCAAAGCAATTTTTCCCCATAGGGAACATCGCAGAGCAATTGCAAAAACTTAATCGCTATGCGATTTTGTCGTTAAACGGGGGGCCCATTAAGCGAGGCACCACTGTATTTTCAGAGGTGCCTTCTATATCATAGTGCATGGTTCAAATTCAGCAAGATTAAGTCCCATCTCTCTTTCTGTGATCTTCCAATTACAGAACTTTAAATCTATCCAAGATACTGCAGAGACAGTCCTGGGCTTCTGCAGCAGGAAGATCACACATCTTAATGAATCATTGTGTGTTGGAAAGGATTAACAGTGCGAAGCGAGGGGGGGGGAAGAAAGATATATAACTGCATTTACCTTGTTTTAGTTTTCTAGATCTACTGTACATGCAGTTTTATACTTATACACTTCCTTATTCTCCTCAAGTCACTGTTTCTTCTCCATTTTATTTAACATATGGCTGTCAGCAGACCTGCATACTCAGAAGCCAGCTCTAAGGCCTTCTCTGTCAAACTTATGGCTATTGGCTCGTGCAATCCTTAGAGTTTTAAAATAATAATAAGCAAGTGTCTTTTCTTCATCTTTTCCCCATTTCTTTTTGAATATCAGTTCCAAGAGTGGGTGCACTTCTCCAGTATCCACAGGTGAAGCCCTAGGCCACTGTCCTCTACCAGTAAAATAGCAAATCATCCTAACAGTAAACTACAAATGTTGTATTTAACTTAACTTTTAAAACTGCTCTTTTAATGGATCCGTCTTCTGCTTTTTTGTCTTTTGAAGATTCTTTTTAGTTTTATTGATGTGAGAACTTGTTTTGCTGCTTGACACAATTTCTTTCATCATTGTTTCTAAAAATTGTTTGTAATTATTTGTTTATAAATGTAATATTTGGATTGTGCTGTTTTTTTTAAAGAAAAGTGTAGCATGCCTCTTTAACAATTAACATAGCGTTCAGTCGTGGTTTGCCAATCAGTGAAAAAAAAAATTCACATCTCCAGTCTTTTGTATAATGCAAGTGGAATGTATACATATGTTGTTGACATGCTTCTATCAGTTGGGTAAATCAGACTTTAAGGTGCTGAGATACTCTTGAAATACTGCATTTCTTCCTCCATCAAACCTCCTGCATGATTATTGCAGTTCAGGCTGCGTTAATTACCGAGGTTGATATTCTGTTAAACAGGGTCTCTTGTTTCTGCTCATTTCATTGGAGGTTCCTTCAACTCAGAGGAGGTCAACTTCTGGCCTATAGGTTTAAACTGGCTCGTAAGAATCTGAGGGATCTCCATCCTCAAAACCCCCCATTTCTCTGCCTGCTTAACACTGGGATGGCAGAATTTATAGGGGATCCTTCCTGGTCTCCCATCCTTCTGTTAGCGCAGAAAGTGGTTAGTTTCCCTTAAAAAGCAAACTTCCTTCTTTCTTTAATTTATTCGTACCAGACCATTGCACAATTTAAAATTATGGATTTATATGAAATATAGGCAAACACTAAAAACAAATTTAACACTTATCTTAACACTTTAGGATAATTTGACTTTTTTTGACCGGAAGCAGGCTGGTTCGGTAACATTATCTCCATCTGAGAAAATTGGTCTTAAAGAGTCTTTTACGATGGCAATTTTTTGTTTCAACATATGAAAACATACTTGGTTTGAACTGTACTTGATGGTTAATGGATAATGGTGTGAACACACTGTATGTGTTTGTAGGGGGGGAAGAACTGCATTTGAGTTCTGTCTCCTTCTTTCTTTAATTTATTCGTACCAGACCATTGCACAATTTAAAATTATGGATTTATATGAAATATAGGCAAACACTAAAAACAAATTTAACACTTATCTTAACACTTTAGGATAATTTGACTTTTTTTGACCGGAAGCAGGCTGGTTCGGTAACATTATCTCCATCTTATTTATTTGTATCCCGCCTATCTGGTCAATTACGACGATTCTAGGTGGCTTACATCATATATATATAGTTACCTGGCTGGAACTTGGTGGTGAGAGATGTCACCATGAAAGGTCAAGTCTTTCTCAGTCATTGAACATGTATTTATCTATCGTGGCAATACTTCTAATGAGGTGATAAGATTTCACCGAAAGATAAGTTCCCATCAGTCCAAAACTGCATGGCCAGGGATGGTGGGATTACCGGGCTGGAACTTGCAAAGCTGATTTCCCTTGTAAATCGCTTCTAGTGGTTATTACACTCTTATGTTTGATCTTCCCATCATCCGCAGGGTCACAGGTGAGCTCTGTACACTCCGAAATGTTCAACTCGGAATGCTGTGGAACTCACGTGGCGTGTTTTTTCCCCCCTCATTTTTAGGCAAACTTCCCAAGGACCAGCCGGCTGGCAGATTCTCTGCAGAAAAGCCAGCTGTGGAACGGAACAGTTACCATTGCTTTACTGGGAGGGAAGAATATATCTGCTGGGGGAATGACACAGTTATTTGTCTTGCTAAAAATGGGAGATCAAAAGTATAAGAGCAAGGTAAGTGTGCGACCAAGGAGTCAGTGAACAACGGCTGCATGATCTTCACATTTGTGGCAGTGACACAGGGACCCACTGCAAGGCCTGTTTCTAGTAGAAATTCAGTGAGTTGCAATGCTAAAACACGGCAAAGGGAAGTGGTTCGTTTATGCAGTGTGTCCTGGATGTCCGGAGATGTACCGTCTCCCACCCAAAATGCAATTGGAGGATTATTCTTGCCCTCCTATGGAGTAGTGGAAAATGGGGTATCAAACTTTCCCCTCTAAAGAAAAAAAATAAAGAAAGCAATCCTTAGACTGTGGTCTGCCCCATGGGAAGAAGGAAACTGCTCCATAGCAGAGATGGGAAAACTTAATTTTGGGAGGGCTATTGCCCCCCAGCATACACTAGCCAGTGGTATGTTCCCATCTCTGCTCTATGGTCTAAGTAGCACATGAGCAGGTGGCAAGGAGAGCAGGAGCTGTCCTAACCCTCTGTTACATGGCGAAATTAAAGCTGCATGCCTAGAATTTCAGATTGCAGTGGGAGAAAGGATGTGTGTGGCTGTGATTCTTGAACCCGACAGAGTTTTTTTGGGTCCCGATTCTTTTCTGGGCTAGGCTTGGGTGGAAGCTGGTGGCCCTCCAGGTGCTGATAATAATCATACGATAATTATATAATAATCTTAGAATGCAGAGCTGGAAGGGACCCCATGGATCGTCCAGTCCAGCCCCTGTTGGGGAAGCACAGTGGAGAACTGAACTCCCGTCCTCTACCTAAGCCACTGAGCTATCCAACGATTCTCCCATTTCCATCAGCCCTAGCTGGTTAGGAAGGAAGGGAGGTTGCATTATGGCAGCTTCTATCAGGCTGTGAGTTCTCCAGGACTTGCTCTGGTCCAGGGAAGGAGAATCTTTGCCCCTCTAAATATTTCAGACTTCTTTTCCCCAAAAGACTCACCCTGCATGGCCAATGGTGATGCCTTAAGGCAGTGGTCCCCAACCCTGGGCCTCCAGATCTTCTTGGACTACAACTCCCAGAAGCCTTCACCACCACTTCTGCTGGCCAGGATCTCTGGGAGTTGAAGTCCAAGAACATCTGGAGGCCCAAGGCTGGGGACCACTGCCTTAAGGGACTGGAAGGGTTAGGTATCTGTCTGTAGAACCAGAGGTTGGGGGTTTCGATTTTCCATTGTCCCTCCCAGGAGAAAAGCCTGCCTGAGCCTTGGGCAAGCCACACAGCCCCAGGGCATCTTGCCCTCTAAGAAGGCAGGGAAGAGGAGACACTTCTGAGTACAGTACAATGTACCTAGGAAACCCCCAAAAGGGTCTCCAGAAGTTGGAATTCAGCTGACAGCCCATAATTATTATTATGGTGGTCAGTGGAAAACATCTGGAAGGCTAAAGCTTCTTCACTGTTTCTGTGGCCTATTAATGTTTGTTGCTGCAATTAGTTGATTAGCCTTTAAGAACCACCGGACTCTGCCACAGACTGAGTAATAAACATTTCTGAAAGTCAACTGCAGGGATAGGTGATACCTTTACAGACCACTGAAATAGCACCATGCAATACTCAAGCTTTCGTGGATGAACACCATTTCATCAGGCTTGTGTTCATCCATGAAAGCTCACATATTCTGTGATGAGTTTTTAAATGGTCTATAAACGTTTCACCTATTTTTGCAACTGCCTTTCATTTTGTGTTGACCCCATGGTTCCCCTTTATTCCTTCCGAAAGTAAAATTTGTGTGGCCTTTTGTGTTGAGAATTCTGACATGGTTCTCTTTTGAGATGAGAATTCTTTGCTGCAGAGTACAATGATCCTCCTTTATTGCCACAATTGTTCCAACCTGCTCAATATTGTTTGTCCCCCCTACCCTGATTTCTCCCCTCCTCCCCCCAGATATCCTCGCTCCTTCTGACTGTTTATAGGAAAGCAACAAGTAAACCTTATAACTGCATGTTTTCTAGACTCTGTGTAAGAGTGCAAATCCACAGTGGCGGGAACAGTTTGATTTTCACTACTTCTCTGACAGGAAGGATGTGCTGGAGATTGAGATCTGGGGAAAAGATAACAAAAAGCACGAAGAAATTTTGGGAATGTAAGTTTTTTTGTTCCTTTTGAAAGCATTTTGGAAAGACTTGAATGCTAATACATTTGACAATGGAAATCACATCTACATCTTCCATTTTCGATTGCCCTCTTTCATTCTCCTTGTGTTTTTATAAATTTGTGTCTGCTTGATGATGTTTGTACCATTCCAAGTTCTCCAGAAAATCCTTGAGCAGAATTGAATACTGGGGTTTTTGGTGGCAGAACGGTGGGATCAAACAGGGGTGGGTATACGGAGGGGTGTTTTTCTCCTTCCACTCTAGCTTCCAACGCCGCTCGAAAATCTGATCCAGAGCCTTTGGAAATCCACTCAGAGCTGGATTTCAGAGGGCTACAGATCATTGCAGGAAGGAGCAAAAGAATCCGATGACACTACTGCTATAACATTTTATTTATTTAAATTATTTATAGGCCGCCTTTCTACCCAACAGACAAAGGAAGAAATTTAAAGACATTATATAAATATCACATTAAAAACCCTCAACAATTTAACATGCATTAAGTTCTGAAGCTCAACATCAATAAAACTAAGACCATGGT